GGGGAGTTTGGGTATATAGGGCTTCTGCAAGGCTTCCATAAGGTATTATAGACCTTCTATAAGGCTCCTATAACGTTAACTACCCAAACTGAAAATGTCCTAGAGTCCTGGACTATGTTCTGGTGTTCCGTTGCAGCTCCGCCCACGACTCGAAGCCCAAAGCCCCTATTAATCCCAAACCCTAAGACCTAGAAAACCAATACCCTTAACCCAAAGCCCCAACCTTCAACCCTGAAGCCTGAACCCAAAACCCCAAGAATAAGACCCTTAACCATAAACCCGAAACCCCAAACGGCTGCAACAGAAAGGGGCGCGTTGCGCTTGAAAAAAGAGAAGCCCCAAACGTCTAAGCCCAAGGGATGACTCTACCCCGCCCCACGGTGAGGCGGCTCTTTGGGCGGCGAAAGCGATGCTCCCTTGAAACTGATGTAGGAACCTGATTAAGAAATCCTGGTCCTACAACCCCAATATATTAGGGCTCATATTCAGAACCCTAAGAGAGACCCAGGGTTTCTTAATCAGGTTCCTACATTATGCTTTCTGGCCCCACTACTGGCGACACAGAGCAGGGCTGTACTATATAGTATAGGTTCCTTTGATTTTCAGCCATTTAACGGTTCTTTTCATGCTAGGGTTCCTATACCCAAAGGGTCCAATGTACCTATATAGTAGAGTGTAGGGTTTCCATATTAGGAATAGTCATTATGGTTTGGGAAAGTATCCCCTATAATAGCACCTAGGACCCCTTGGGATAATTCTAATGTTAAAGGATCTAGGACTGTTCTATAGGGCTTATTTGGAATGATTCTCTTCTACAGGGCTAAAGTTCTGCTTGACTTCATGCATGCACTTCGAAAACATTTGCGGCAATACAAGTTTCCGAAACAGCTTGCAACTGAACATGTGACGAGTTGGCTCGCTGATCTTGCTGAGTCATTCGGGCACTACACACAATTATAGATAAGATCTGGGTGGTTGTCAAAATTAGGGTCCCTTTTTGGGGTACCCTAAATAATAGGTGCCGTACTATAATAAGGACCCAAAAAGGGACCATAATTTTGACAACCACCCATCTAGATTCGCTTGAACGCGGCAACCACTTCAAGATGCTTGAACCACCGACCGAAGTCCGAGTGCATACGGAATCGTGCACGTGGATGCATGCTTCAGGGATCCTTGTTGTGGTAGTATAAGTAGCATGTCCCAAAACCCTGTGGTAATTGATAAGCCCTCCAATGTTTTAGAGACCGTCCTTATTGAGGAACCGCGTCGTCCTGTTGTGCTCAGCGCAAATTCTGCGATATTTAATTCCAATAGCAAGGGCGATGCGATCGCGACAGCGCCTAAACCCAAAACTCTGAAAGGCCGTAAACCCTGAAACCCTCCTAACCCGCTTGCAGCTCTTACTGACACGTAAAAAAACCCTCAGATCAACCCAGAGGCCCTTCAACTTTCATTACCAAAAAACTCCCCAAAGACCCAGAGACTCCAAAACCCCTTAATATAATATGCCTTAAATCATATTGGGGTTCCCATAATATTTCAAGGTATATTCCTTATTAAGGGGGTTTTGGAGTCTCTGGGGACTCAGACCTCCACCTGAAAGGATGTCGCCAATCAAACAGCTGCCGCCTTTGCTGACCATGCTGCTTGGCAGACGCGACGGGACATGGGAGTTGCGGAACACCGAGGATCCTATCCCATGGAACATTGAATAGGGTTTAGGGTTTAGGGTTTAGAGTTTAGGGTGTAGGGTTTAGGCTTAGGGAATAGGGTTTATAGGTAGTATTATTAGGGCTACCCCTTAAAGGGTACCCCTTCTGAACCCTACTTCTGGCTCTCTTAAAAGGGACCTTATTGAGAGGGTCTATATCCCCAAGGGTCCCCCTAATCCTGGCTCCCATTGAATAGGGTTTAGGGTTTAGGGTCATACCTGAACCTCAAAAGCACGTGGAATCATAGCCTTTTAGAGGTCTTGGACCATTACTTTTACTTTGCCTACTTGTTGGGGGTTTGGGTAGACATTCAGGTTTGCTGTAGAAGCCAAAATAATTACCAATATTGTTCCTTATAGGCTTCCTTGCTATAGTTATGCAATAGGCAGGGAGCACAAAATCCTTTTCTAATTATTGAGGCCACTACAGTACTGCTTCGGCTTCAAGCTTAAGGGCTTCAGGAAAGGCAGGCTCTATCTTCCCATGGTTTAGGGTTTAGGGTTCATCCTATGTAAAGCCTCAGCCAAAGACTCGAAAGCCTACAGTCAAGGAACCACTTAAACCTTGAAGCTTCGACCTGATCTCTGAGCCGTCAGCCCTGAATTCTGAACCTCAACCCCTGAGGCCTAAACCTTCTAAGCCCTTAGCCCTAAACCCCTGAAGCCCTAAAACCCTAAAGCCCTAAACCTTGGATTCATGTAGGGGCCAAAAAAATTACCAATACTAGTTTGGGGGTTCCTTAATACTATTATTTTTATTATTCTAATTATTAAGGCCCCTATCGTATCCCACAGACTCTAGATCCCGGTGGGTCCCTCCGAAGCGAGCTGCAAGGCTCGTGGTTGGCTTCGCCTTGGGCAACCTCCCCTTCCTGGGAGAGCATGTGGGCCGTCAGGCAAGAAGGGAAGGGAAGGTTTAGGGTTTCGGGTTTAGGGCTTTGGGTTTAGGGTTTCGGGTTTGGGGCTTAGGGTTTAGGCAAGAAGTGAAGGGAAGGGAAGGGAAGGTTCGGGTTTAGGGTTATCGTCTTTTGAGTTGAGTTGAAAGTGTGGGGATTTAGGGCTTATAAGGATTTCAGGATGTAGGTTTTGGGACTAGCACTTGGAAAAACACATCGAGTCAAGCGTCCCGCATCTGACGATTGGACACTGCCACCCCGAAAGTGAATCTAAGATCGGAGCGACGACACTCTGCGGCCTTACAGGTATGTAAGATGGCAGCTTCAGGCAAGGCATTTTACCCCAATGTAGGGGCCTTAATAATTAGAATAGGGTTTGGGGGCCCTTTATACTATAACTATAATAAGCAAGACCCAAAATAATACCCTAAACCCTAAACCCTAAACCCATAGGTAATTCTTGAGGCCCCTACATTTTCCTTGAGACCCGAGATCTGCTCCAGGTGGATTCCAACTGGTCCGCTGCCATCAGGCATCGTTTGGGTTTAGGGCTTAGGGTTTAGGGGTTTAGGGCTTAGGGTTTAGGGGTCTAGGGGTTTAGGGCTTTGGGTTAAGGGGTTTAGGGGTTTAGGGTTTTGGGTTTAGGGGTTTAGGGCTTTGGGTTAGGGGGTTTAGGGCTTTGGGTTTTGGGTTGAGAGACCGGCTTGGGTTAGACAATCCTTGCTGATGTAGTCCGCATCCTTGCTAGAGTGATCTACCCTTGCGATTCCGCGGGTCTTATTTTTTGCTCTTTGCGAGCTCATGCTCAAAGGCTCTGATTTCCAGCCGCCTTCTCAACGAATCCCCAAGTGGAACTTAATGCACAAGAACCTGCCATTGAGCCAGGCAGTCTGCCCTTGTTCTCATCCTCCTCCGCGCGGGCATGGCCCTGGACATCAACGCTTTGAAGCGTCTTCGTTTCGTGGAAGCTTGGCCGATGAGTCTGGGAGGGGAGCGAGCGATGAGGAATCTCAGGAAGGATAAGAACGGATAAGACCTACATGACCTACATGACACATGGGTGGTTGTCAAAATTATGGTCCCTTTTTGGGCCCTTACTACAATACGGCACCTATTATTTGGGGTACCCCAAAAGGGACCATAAGTTTTGACAACTACCCACATGAATAAGCCCGCAAAACGCGAACCCTCTCTTCTTACCCAAACTACAGACCACTCCAGGCTTCGAAGCTCTCCATCCCTTGCATAGTGTTCCTAAAGATGCATGTAGGCATGATGTAGTCGATGTGTTTGCATGGGGCCAGCATGAGACAGATGTCAAGGAACATGAGACATAGAAACATGCAGAAGCTCTAAACTCTACCGTACCCTGCACTAGATCCTTCAGATTTGTGCTCAGTCCCATTGCTCATCACCCTCAGTTACATCCTACAGAACCCTAAACCCAAACCCCCTGAACCCTAAACCCTTTACGACCACAAGGACAGAGCCCAAAACCCTAACCTCGAATTGGCCAAACCCTCGTCAACCCGGATCCTTCAGCCACAGTAGTCGAACGCCATGATACCCTAAGCTTTGAAAAGACACAGTGGCTTGAAAACCCTAAACCCACAGCACCATAAACTCTGAACCAATAGCACCCCGACGCTTAAAGCCCATGGTGCCCCAAACCCAGAGCCGTATAGGGCCTGAACCCCCGAGTCCCAGAGTACACTAAACCCCAAACCCAGCCCTCAGCCCATAGCATCCTTCGCCTTACACAAAATATAATATTATCGGGGCCTAAATAACTACCAATACTACCGGGGGGGGGGCTCCTTTTGGGTGACCTTCTTCCGGGTTCTTTATATAATCACAAAGACCACACTTTTCTGAAACTGTCATATCCTATATTGCATAAATATGAACATGCACATATAATATATATATATATATATAATATAAATATATATATATATATGTACATATATATATATATACACACATATAAAACTTTTGTGTGTACCTGGCTAGCTGGGTAGGGGGTAACTAGGTAGAGAGAGAGAGAGA